AGTTAGGGTAAGATATAAACAGCTATTGGAGGATAGATGGGGTAATGAGAGCATAGGCAATGGGTCGAAGAGGTATGGGGTAGGATTAAAAATGTAGTGTTAGAGTGTTCAGCAGAAGTTTGTGGTTACAGGAAAGTGGGTGCAGGAGGGAAGAGGAGCAATTGGTGGAATGATGATGTAAAGAGAGTAGTAAGGGAGAAAAAGTTAGCATATGAGAAGTTTTTACAAAGTAGAAGTGATGCAAGGAGGGAAGAGTATATGGAGAAAAAGAGAGAGGTAAGAGAGTGGTGAAGCAATGTAAAAGAGAGCAAATGAGAGAGTGGGTGAGATGTTATCAACAAATTTTGTTGAAAATAAGAAAAAGTTTTGGAGTGAGATTAACAAGTTAAGAAAGCCTAGAGAACAAATGGATTTGTCAGTTAAAAATAGGAGAGGAGAGTTATTAAATGGAGAGTTAGAGGTATTGGGAAGATGGAGGGAATATTTTGAGGAATTGTTAAATGTTGATGAAGATAGGGAAGCTGTGATTTCGTGTATAGGGCAAGGAGGAATAACATCTTGTAGGAGTGAGGAAGAGCCAGTTGTGAGTGTGGGGGAAGTTCGTGAGGCAGTAGGTTAAAATGAAAGGGGGTAAGGCAGCGGGATTGATGGGATAAAGATAGAAATGTTAAAAGCAGGTGGGGATATAGTTTTGGAGTGGTTGGTGCAATTATTTAATAAATGTATGGAAGAGGGTAAGGTACCTAGGGATTGGCAGAGAGCATGCATAGTTCCTTTGATATAAAGGCAAAGGGGATAAAAGAGAGTGCAAAAATTATAGGGGGATAAGTCTGTTGAGTGTACCTGGTAAAGTGTATGGTAGAGTTATAATTGAAAGAATTAAGAGTAAGACGGAGAATAGGATAGCAGATGAACAAGGAGGCTTTAGGAAAGGTAGGGGGTGTGTGGACCAGGTGTTTACAGTGAAACATGTAAGTGAACAGTATTAGATAAGGCTAAAGAGGTCTTTGTGGCATTTATGGATTTGGAAAAGGCGTATGACAGGGTGGATAGGGGGGCAATGTGGCAGATGTTGCAAGTGTATGGTGTAGGAGGTAGGTTACTGAAAGCAGTGAAGAGTTTTTACGAGGATAGTGAGGCTCAAGTTAGAGTATGTAGGAAAGAGGGAAATTTTTTCCAGTAAAAGTAGGCCTTAGACAAGGATGTGTGATGTCACCGTGGTTGTTTAATATATTTATAGATGGTGTTGTAAGAGAAAGTAAATGCGAGGGTCTTGGCAAGAGCGTGGAGTTAAAAGATAAAGAATCACACACAAAGTGGGAGTTGTCACAGCTGCTCTTTGCTGATGACACTGTGCTCTTGGGAGATTCGGAAGAGAAGTTGCAGAGATTGGTGGATGAATTTGGTAGGGGGAAAAGAAGAAAAAAAAGGGAATTGGAAAAGAGTTTTTTGAGGAAAAAAAGTTGGTGTGTAAGAAGAATTGATTGGGGGAAGGGGTAGGAGGAGGTGGGGTACAAAATTTGGGAGGGCTGAGGGAGGGTTTAAAATTTGGGGTGAATTAGAAGAGGGGGGGAAAAAAGGGGGAGGGGGACTTGGGAGGTAAAAAAGTTTTGTTTGGAGGAAAGGGGGGTAGGGGTTTTTTTCCCCCCTTTTATAGGGTTGGAGGGGGGTAAAAGTTGGGGGTAAAGGCGGAGGCGGGGGATTCAGCGGGGCAATTTTGGGGTGGAAATAAGGGGAGAAATTGTTTTGGGAATTGGGGGGTTGGGGTTACAAAACTTTTAAAGGGTTGGGTTTTTCCAGGAAAAGGGAGCCAAAACGAATCTTAAGGAGGTACCAGTCTGATGAAGGGAAAGGGGGGGGGGGTTAAAATTTGGGGGGGGGTTTAAAGGGGTTTTTGTGTCAAAACCTTCCGGGCAGCATGAGGGGGGTTTGAATAATGGGAAAAGGTTTTTTTTTTCGGCTGTTGGGGGAAAGAAAAAGGTAAATTTTAAATTAAAAAAATTGGTAGGGAATAATATCTGCATCTAAATTTTAAATTGTTATTTTCTGATTAAAAAATTTTCCAAAATTTATTGTAGGGTTTTTTTTTTTTGGGCCCCCTTTCCTGGTGGAATGGCCTTTGTTAAAAATTAAAAATTTTGTTTTTTTTTTTTTTTTTTTTTTTTTTCTTATCCTTTTTTTTTTTTTTTTTTTTTTTGTTTTTTTTTTTTTTTTGTTTTTTTTGTTTTCTTCTGCATTTTTCCTCATTTTCAGCCTGATGCAATGTGTTAAATTCAACTTAATTAACACTGATTTGTACTAAATTATGCACTTTATAAAGGTTAATAGTAAAACTTACCTTTAAATAAATTCTAGCTACTTGGCTTAGCAATTACATGAAAAAAAATTTTGTAATATAAATTTTTAAAATAAAATTTAAAAATGTAGCTCACTTGAGCTTAGAAATTTAACATGTAAGAATTTTTTTTAAAAAATTTTAAATGTACTTTAAATAAAAACCCTTTTAGCCAGCCTTGGTTATAAAAAATTATTATACAAAAATATAAATCCTTGCCAAAATTTTGGGCAAAAAAATTAATATTATCACTTTAAATAAAATTTAGCAACACTTGTTTTATAAATTACACATACATTAAATTTAAATTTTGGGCCAGAATTGTTTTATAAAAATTAATAGAATAATTATAATCCACTAAAATTTAAGTAAAATTAAATATTTACACATTAATATAATTAGCAACACCTGGCTTATCAATTACACTACATGATAAAAAATCATGGCCGAATTTTTATCTTAAATATATAAAAATTAATATAAATTTGCCAGACTTGACTTATAAAAATTAATATTGTAAAAATTTAAAATCCACTACACTTTAAAAAAAATTTTGTGAACTTAACACCACCCCCTTCTGTCATTTCCATAAATTATTAAGTTATTAACCCAATTTAAGACTTCACTAATTACCTCCGGTTCAAGAAGGACCAACGGGCAAATTAAATGTGGGGAAAATTTCATTTTTCGAATGTAATCATTATGTACATAACAGAAATGAAACAAAGTAATTTTTTTTATCCAAGTTCTAACAAGTAGGGAAATTTTTGGGGGAACCCAGGTCGCAAAAATGTCCCCCTTCGATACCCCACCACTGTATATCCACAAGTTCTCGGACCTTTAAATTTTCAAATGAAAAATACATCACCAGGAAAAACTGTAAATTAAAATTTTTGGACTGTTATTAAAAATAATAAATGGTTTATATAAAAACACAAAACCATAAAGAAGGAAAAAAAATCTTAAAAATCACTCACCAAAATTTTATGGTATTAAGTTGTATCATACTCAGAAAAACCCCATAGCTAAATTTATGAAAACTGGCCAGAATTAACCAAATTCAGGAGCCATCTGAGGTTCATGGGGCTGTCTTGTCCAGTCGTCTGATATTCAAGTTATGCGGAAGCACATCCAAATTTCGCCTCCCATTTGAGAGGGGGTCAGCCCAATTTCAACCCGTAGAGCTGAAAATTCCTTCCCATCACACCAAAATTGTACACATTCAAAAAACCAAGAGGGGTAGTCTCGTCTGCGCAGAGCAGGCTTTCGTTTTTTATGACCCAAAAATTATTACGTATGGCCATCTATTTACATTAAAAACTGTATTTCTGGAAAATATATACGTTTTTCCACAGGGCCACCCGTTCTTGCGACCTGTTCTGAACCCCTAATGACCTGGGTGTGCACTGCTGCGATTCCCTGTGTTTTGGGAATCTCGTTTTTAAAAAAAAAAAAAATAAAAAAAAAACTTTCAAAGATTTTGTAATGGGGATGTCAGAGCTATTGGTCGGGGTTGTTTTCCCTTGTTTTACTCTCACCTTTGTGGGGTTTTCCTTGTTTTACTCCACCTTTTGGGGTGGGGGAATATCAGTAGGCAGTGAGGGATGCCGAAAGGGAGGGACGCTTGGGGGAAGGGGAGTTGCTTGGGGAGCCCAGGAGAAAGGGTGGGAATATTGGAGGGGGTATGTGTGTGGAAAAAAATTTTAATCTTCCCAAGCTATAGTGGGAATAGGTGTTTAATGTGCGATTGGGCGAAAAAAGGGATTTTTAAAATGGAAAAGAAAATCAGGGGAATCTGGGCCTGCGCATGGGCAGGGGGGAGGTCGAGCGGGGCATCAGGGACGGGGGTGTTTTGGGAAAGGAGTAAGAGGCTGGGGGAAAACTGGGACCAGGAAAAGGTGTTTACGGGGGCCCAAGGATTAAAAAGGCCTCACTTCATAATAGAAAGTGTCGTAACTGTTCCTGGTGAAGAGTGAGGGAACGTGATTTATGGGACCACCATGATTATATACACCTGGAAAATCCTAGAGGGACTAGTACCGAACTTGCACACGAAAATCACTCACTACGAAAGCAAAAGACTTGGCAGACGATGCACCATCCCCCCAATGAAAAGCAGGGGTGTCACTAGCACGTTAAGAGACCATACAATAAGTGTCAGGGGCCCGAGACTTTTCAACTGCCTCCCAGCACACATAAGGGGGATTACCAACAGACCCCTGGCAGTCTTCAAGCTGGCACTGGACAAGCACCTAAAGTCAGTTCCTGATCAGCCGGGCTGTGGCTCGTACGTTGGTTTGCGTGCAGCCAGCAGCAACAGCCTGGTTGATCAGGCTCTGATCCACCAGGAGGCCTGGTCACAGACCGGGCCGCGGGGGCGTTGACCCCCGGAACTCTCTCCAGGTAAACTCCAGGTAAATAATAAAGTGGTAAAATTAGTGAATAATGGTAGGGCCGGTGGTGACTGGTGCGACGCCATGGAGTGTGTCCAGGGGAAAATACCCGTGATTTAATCATCACTCATCGGTCTCAGATCTTAATGGAGTGACCTCTAATGTGCATAATAATTATGAGACATTAAATTGTCGTGTGAATTGTAATGTAATCGCTGATAATAATGCTAAGTTAAGAGAATGTGTGAAGTGAAATAAGTCGCCTTACTCAGACTGAACACGTGTAGTCCTCGTGGTTCCTGTCCTGAGGATAGTGAAGTTTTATGGAGTCACGACTTCTAAACCAGGACAAACCAACGGATACCTCGTCCTGCTGGAATAAGAACCGTGTCGGTGTAGCAGGACATCGAAATGAGATGGTGAATGGAGGAAATAAGGAGCATCAATCACCCACAGTTAAGTACCCCTTCTAGCTATAGCAGACTGATACTGGCCAGTTAGGTATGTTGTAATTGGATAGGTTATGGGTGATCCAGCTACATCAAGTGACCACCAGAGAATATCTGGTAAGTGGTGGGATTATGTACAAGTGTTTTACCTTGATGGATATATCCATGTGTAACCTACCCCTCCCCCCCCCTTCATTCAGTTAAACTAATATAATCTATACAGTCCACAATTAATTAGTAGCGCCATACTTGTGGGTGCTATCCAATTCATACTGGTCTTGGATAGATATGGATAAGATTGTGATGTCGAAGGAACCACCTGCAGGGACCAGGGGTGGTTAAGTTTTCTCACATGTCTACACGGGGTGACTACGGTAAACATTATGGTTGTTGTCTCCCAATGAGTTTACTTGTATGCATATAATGTCGAGGTACATACAGGTAACCCCCTATAAAATTTTCCATAATGTGGGAATTTTAACTAGCATAAGCAGCCTACTTCAGTGTTAGTCTAAAATTATTACCAAAGGTATATCCCCTTAAGGGGGGGGGGTCTCTGTTGTTGGTGAGGGTTCTTGATCCATGGAATCGGATCTCGCTCCCCTTCCTAGGATCCAATTGGATTGATGAAGGACTAGACACATGTGCAACATCTGAGTATCTATTGTAGACGTTTTGCCATTCAGTGGCTTTATCAATACAAATTCAAAGACATAATCAGTCAGCCTGGAGTCGATATGTTCAGTCCCCAGGATGCAACCCATACTAGTTGACGAACTTATATATATCTGTTTATTGCTAAGTAATAGGGGCAGGAGGTGATAAAAGGGAGAATAGTTTGGAGGATGTGGAGTAAGAAGAGTATGGGGGGGAGCAGAAAATAATTTTTAAACAACTGGATATATTAGCAGTGTGGTGCTGCCCTATTCTGTATAATAATATTTACACAGTGGGAACAAAAGCTGGCAATGTTTTTCTATCATATTCCATCATGCAAGATGGGACTCATAAAAGGAACAATGAGGATATCATCAAGCTATGCATAACCAGGGGCTTTCTGTATACATGTAGTATGTCATTGATGTCAGCTATCATCTGTATAAGTTGTATCATGTACTGGTAGAAATAAATATTATTAGTATTATTATAACAGTTCTAGGTCTTTTGCTGCCAAGAGACCATCATCTGCAACTGTCATTTAATCCTTGAACCGTGGCATTTCCGGTATAAAAATTCCCTACCAGCAAATAGGCTGTGCCACCTGCACAACCTGTTTGCTGGTAGGAAAGCTGGTGGTTGTGGAACAAGAGCTCCTGGTTTAATTCTTTACTTATGTTAGTTAGGCCTACTAGTGTAGGCCAAACTAGTTAACCATGATGCACTGTGTGGACCTTCCTGCCCTTAGATTTTTTCAAATGTAAGAAAAGATTATAGAAGACCCACACCAGTCAGCTAACACCCAGGTACCTTCTTACTGCTAGGTGAACAGGGGCAGCAGGTGTAAGGAAGCATGCCCAGTCTTTCCAACCTTGTCATGAGGTCAAAAATATTGGCAGGGGACAGATCTGAAGGTACAGATTATTGTGCATACTAGTACAATGGACACAGTCGTCTATTGCATACTAGTACACTGGACACATAGCTGTCAGTTGCATACTAGTACATTGGACACAGTTTTAAGTTTAAGAGGGATCGTAATGGATAATTAAGTAAGAACAAGCAGTGATGTGCACTTCCTTTTTCTTACCTCAGTTATTAATTCTGATTCCTCTTGAGTAATGATGTCTACTGAGACTAGAAGGCCTATAGCTGTGTAAAACCTAACTGTGGATTTGTTACTTACAGTATCTTTCTACTTGCAGGATGGCTGGGCTTGTGCCACTGGACAATGAGAGAGACAAGTGGTGCAGGGAGAAATTGGAATTTGTTTGTGCTGTTGTTAGTGGTGTAGACAGGGAGAGCTTGAAGGCTCAGCTGGATATCTGTGAAACAGATGAAGATGCAGAGGGTCTGATGCAGAGTCTCTTGTGGTTACAGGACCACAATGAGGCACAGCTACTCAGTTATCAGACTAACCAGGAACAGCACCACAACCACCTACAACAAAACCTAAATGACCATGAAGACCTACGCCTGCAGTACCGAAATGATCCAGGTGACTATCCACAGGGCCAGGATTATCCTGGGCAGCATCCACAGAATCAGGGTGATCCCGGACAGCATCTACAGAATCAAGATGATCCTGAGCATCATCCACAAGTCCTAGATAATTTAGGGAATTATCCTCATGCCCATGATGAAGCAAGGGAATATCCTCAGGTCCAGGAAAATCCAGAGGGGCAGCTTCTTGCACAAGATGATTTAGAGGAAATTCCTCATGTCCAGGATGATCCAGGAGAGCAGTTCCAGAATGATGATGATTCAGAGGAAGATCCTGAAGAGTTTGATGATCCAGAGGAAGATCCTGAAGAGTTTGATGATCCAGAGGAAGATCATGAGGAGTTTCTTCAGGCAGAAAATGCTTCTGGAGTTCCTGAACAATATAATCAGCCTGTGTATCCAGTGCTCAAAAATATTTTTGGACCATTTGTACAGGTTCAAGATAAGGCAGAACAGGGACAAAACTTTGGCATAGTATTCCAGGAAGCTGAAGTAATGGATTCCAGTGGTGCAGCTAGTATTGCAGGTATAAATAATGCATCTGAGATAGCAGGAGCATCGGGTGTAAATATTGCAATTGACCCAGCAGGGGCATTAAATATAAAAATGGCAACTGCAATAGCAGGGGCATCAGGTGAGGACACAGTGAATGACGAGTTGATGGCACAGTTGCTGGCAGAAGAGGAGACACTCGTTAAGAATATTGACACAGTAGGTGACGAACAGTTGGCACGTGAGCTGTCTGAGGAGACAGAAGAACACGAAGAAATGGAGGAGGACAGAGTAGCGGCACACCTGGCCGCTCTTGTCAATATGTTCCCTGATGCAGAGCCTGGCTACCTGGAGGAGAGGTGAGTACCCAAATGTTTTGAATTGTTAGTAATCCCTTCGTATTTAGTGCTTGCATACGAATATGAAGCAATTACAATTGGTGTGGTCATTGTGAAATTACATCTCCACTGTGTTGGGAAATCTTTATATGGTATTTTGTAAATTAAAATTTTTTGAAGAAAATTCAAAGAATATTGCATTGTAAGAAATACAGTAAAATCCCAGTATCCACTGATTCGGTATCTGGTTTCAGTTATCCACAGTTTACTGTAGCCCAAAAATACTTCTTAATTTTGCATAATAATGGCCCCAAAGCACAAAAGCAGAAAATCTGGCAGTTCTTCAAAGCCTAAAAGAAGCTGTGAAGTGCTTCCCATCAGTGAAAAAGTGATAATTCTCCATTTATTGTGCATAATTTATCAATTAAGCTTTATAATAGGTATATATAGGACTTATGTACAGTGGAACCTCAGCTTACGAACGCCCCACCATGCGAACTTTTCAGGATATGAACCGTCGTTCGGTCTATTTTTTGCTTCTGGATACGAATGAAATTTCAGGATGCGAACTTTCCCCTCAAGGGAAGCTCTTTAAATAAATAAATGAAATATTTATTTCTTTGCAAAGGTTACAGTGTGTGTTTTACATATCATAATATGATTGGAGCAAAGAAAGTCACTATCATGCCGAGGCATTTTGGGCAGACTTAACCTAATACTTATAGACTACTTAAGTCTAGAGAGGTGAAAAGTAGTGGTTACCAATGTTTTGCTGATGGTGGTGCCAACTACTGGCAGCCTTTTGAAGTTTCTCCTTACTGTTATTATTACTACTACTATTATATTGTATTATTATTATTATTACAGTAATTATTATAATAATTATTATTATTAGTAGTAGTACATACCTGGTGAGGGGCTCTTGGTCTAGGAAATTGGATCTGTGTTCCAGTTCCCTAAATTAAGCTTGAATACCTTCCATCCCCCACCACATAAGTGCTTCCCCATTGTAATAATAATAATAATATAATATAATAATAATAATACATATAATAATAATATAATAACAATGTACTATAATAATAATTATAATAATAGACAGCTTCGAAAGGCCATCACTAGATGGCAGTGAATACCACAACAGTGTGGGAGTAGTTATGGCCACCTCCACTTGTCACATAATGACATAGTCATTCTAGAGTATATATCAGGTTTCTATATTATTTAAGTATATTGTTTATTATGTCATATTAGATCAATTGTGATAGATAAATAAGCCATAGAGTTGATATTAGCATCATATTTTGTCCTGTCTCCAAACAATAGACTCTCCTCCGCTGCCAGCACCACTACATATTAAACCCTTGTCAGTTTGGATTCAGGAATAATAAAAGCACAAATGACGCTATCATACACATGCTAGAACTAATATATACCGCACTTGAAAAGAAAGAAGTCCCGCTGGGCATTTTCATTGATTTACGTAAAGCTTTCAATACAGTCGACCATGAACTACTGTACTCCAAATTAATGCACTATGGTATCAGAGGCCACTCCCTCAACTACCTAAAGTCATACCTTAGTAACAGAACTCAATACAGTGGACCCCCGCATAACGATATTAATCCGTTCCTGAGAGCTCATTGTTATGCGAAATTATCGTTATGCAAATGAATTTTCCCCATAAGAAATAATGGAAATCAAATTAATCCGTGCAAGACACCCAAAAGTATGAAAAAAAGAAATTTACCACATGAAATATACATTTTCCTACACACAAAGAGAAGGATACATGCACAATAGTAGAGTAGTACATGCACAATATATATTGTGCATGTACTACTCTACTAAATGAAGAATAAATGACACTTACCTTTATTGAAGATGCAGCAATGACTGATGAGACACTGTGTCCTGGGAGTGCCTTTTCCTCCTGAGTACTGTAGGTCCTGTTTGGCATTTTCTTCCAGAACAGGCCTTATCACACTGTGTATGCCACTACGATTCTTAAATCTCTCAAACCAACCTTTGCTGGCTTTAAATTCACCAATATGAGCACTAGTTCAAGGCGTTTTTCCCTGTTCACCTGGGCGTTAGTCGACTGGTGTGGGTTGCATCCTGGGAGACAAGATTAAGGACCCCAATGGAAATAAGTTAGACAGTCTTCGATGACACTGACTTCTTTGGGTTATCCTGGGTGGCTAACCCTCTGGGGTTAATTGTTTCTTGGTATTCTCAATAAGCCACACCAACAACGGTGCTACAGCAGCAGCAGCAGCTGACAGTGCTACAGCAGCAGCAACAGCAGCAGCAGCTGACAGTGCTACAGCAGCAGCGGACGATGCTACAGCAGCAGCAGACAGTACTACAGCAGCAGCAGCAGACGGTACTACAGCAGCAGCAGACGGTACTACAGCAGCAGCAGACGGTACTACAGCAGCAGCAGCAGCTGACGGTGGTACAGCAGCAGCAGCAGCTGACAGTGCTACAGCAGCAGCAGCAGCTGACAGTGCTACAGCAGCAGCAGCAGCTGACAGTGCAACAGCAGCAGCAGCTGACAGTGCTACAGCAGCAGCAGACGATGCTACAGCAGCAGCAGACGGTACTGCAGCAGCAGCTGATGGTGGTACAGCAGCAGCAGCAGCTGACGGTGCTGCAGCAGCAGCAGCAGCAGCTGACAGTGCTACAGCAGCAGCAGCAGCTGACAGTGCTACAGCAGCAGCAGGAGCTGACAGTGCTACAGCAGCAGCAGGAGCTGACAGTGCTACAGCAGCAGCAGCTGACAGTGCTACAGCAGCAGCAGACGATGCTACAGCAGTAGCAGACGATGCTACAGCAGCAGCAGACGGTACTACAGCAGCAGCAGCAGCAGCTGACGGTGGTACAGCAGCAGCAGCAGCTGACGGTGGTGCTGCAGCAGCAGCAGCAGCAGCTGACAGTGCTACAGCAGCAGCAGCAGCTGACAGTGCTACAGCAGCAGCAGCAGCTGACAGTGCTACAGCAGCAGCAGGAGCTGACAGTGCTACAGCAGCAGCAGCTGACAGTGCTACAGCAGCAGCAGACGATGCTACAGCAGTAGCAGACGATGCTACAGCAGCAGTAGACGGTACTACAGCAGCAGCAGCAGCACAGACAGTACTACAGCAGCAGCAGCAGCAGCAGCAGCTGACGGTGGTACAACAGCAGCAGCAGCTGATGGTGCTACAGCAGCAGCAGCAGCTGACAGTGCTACAGCAGCAGCAGCAGCTGACAGTGCAGCAGCTGACAGTGCTACAGCAGCAGCAGCAGCTGACAGTGCAGCAGCAGCAGCTGACAGCGCTACAGCAGCAGCAGATGATGCTACAGCAGCAGCAGACGGTACTACAGCAGCAGCAGCAGCAGCTGACGGTGGTACAGCAGCAGCAGCAGCTGACGGTGGTACAGCAGCAGCAGCTGACGGTGCTACAGCAGCAGCAGCAGCTGACAGTGCTACAGCAGCAGCAGCAGCTGACAGTGCAGCAGCAGCTGACAGTGCAGCAGCAGCAGCTGACAGTGCTACAGCAGCAGCAGACGATGCTACAGCAGCAGCAGACGGTACTACAGCAGCAGCAGACGGTACTACAGCAGCAGCAGACGGTACTACAGCAGCAGCAGCAGCTGACGGTGGTACAGCAGCAGCAGCAGCTGACAGTGGTACAGCAGCAGCAGCAGCTGACAGTGCTACAGCAGCAGCAGCAGCAGCAGTTGACCATGGTACCACAGTATTTCGATAATATTTCTCACCCTTTTTACCACAGGGTTGGCACTAGAAGCTTTCTTGGGGCCCATGGTCACTTATTTTGCAGATAAAATCACCAAAAACGCTGTAATAATACGAAATGTTACGATTGTATGCTTGGATGCTACCGCGGAGGCTGGCTTGTAAACAATGCCACCGGCGGAACATGTGAGGCTGGCTCATTAGACGCGTCTCGGACGAATAGTGTTGAGTGGGTTTTTTAGCGGTATGCGAGGCAAAATCTTAGCGATAAAATGTATCGGTATGCGGATTTAACGTTATGTGATGCCAACGGTGTGTGGGGGTCCACTGTATGTGTATGCAAATGATGCAAACTCCTCCACCTAACCAATCACAGTAGGAGTCCCACAAGGAAGCGTCCTTGGACCACCCCTCTTTCTCATCTACATCAATGATCTACCGAATGCATCACAGCTACTCAAACCCATATTATTTGCAGATGACACTACATATGTATTTTTCCACCCAAATGCAGTCATACTAGCAAACACAGTCAGTGCTAAATTACAGAAAATATCTGCCTGGATGATGACTTCCAAACTTACCCTGAACACTGATAAAATCTATTTCATTCAGTTTGGAAACAAAGCTGCAAATGATCCAATTAACATTACGCTAAATGGATCATCAGTCACAAGACTCACAGAGGGAAAATTCCTAGGTATCCACCTTGACAGTAGCCTTAAATTCCAGACACACATACAACAAATCACCAAGAAAATCTCCAAGACTGTAGGCATACTATCAAAGATAAGGTACTACGTTCCACAATCAGCTCTCCTGGCACTGTACCATTCACTCATATACCCTTATCGTACATATGGAATTTGTGCATGGGGATCAGCAATGTCAAATCACCTAAAACCCCTAATAACCCAGCAAAAGGCAGCAGTAAGAATGATAACAAATTCCCACTCCCACCAGCATACTCCACCAATTTTCAAAAGTCTGAATCTGCTTAACATTAAGAACATCCATACTTATTCATGTGCCTACTACATACACAGAACAATATACGCAAATATAAACCCTCCACTCAAACTTCTCCTCACCAACCTAAACAGGACACATGACCACAACACAAGACGCAGATCTCTTTTTGATATACCTTGTGCCCATATCACACTGTGTAAAAACTCTATGCACATAAAGGGCCCCAAAATATGGAATTCATTACCAGAAGATATTAAAGTAACCCAGTCTGAAAATCAATTTAAGACTTCTCAAAAGCCACTTAATCACCCTAGACTAAATGCTAAATATTCAGTACACATTTACTCACCTATGTACTCCCACATCATAACTGAAACAATTACATTGAACCTTTTATCCATTGTTGACAGGAATATAATTGAATCATTGTTCTCACAAAAAGCATTTTAGAATATAAATACGTATATCTTTGTATTATACAAATTTTGATTCATTTATAATTAATATTCTACTGTACAACTATGAAATAATTACTTTCCTACTGTACAACTATGATATACTACTCCTTAGTATTAAGTAGTCAGTAAGCCAATAATGTTAAGTTGGCCCATAATGCCTGGGCATAATAGAGGCTCTCTTTGCATTGCAACCCACTATTGTATATACACAATCTCAGTGTACTGTATGCAAAGACATTAAATAAATAAATAAATAAATATATGTAATGACATATTTTATTCATTCTAGAGTATATATCATATAATAATAAACAATATACTACAAATGTCATATTAGATCAATTGTGATAGATAAATAAACCGTAGAATTGATATTACAGTGGACCCCCGAGTTTCGTGATTAATCCGTTCCAGAGAGCCTGCCGAAAGTCGAAATTTCACGAAACTCGAAACTATTTTCCCCATAAGAAATAATGGAAATAAAATTAATCCGTTCCAGGATTTATATACTGAAATCAATGAGAAATCAAGTACATGCATATAAAAAATAATAATAACATTACACTTACCTTTACTGAAGACTTCTGGGTGGATGGAAGATGGGAGGAGGGGATAGGAGGAAGGTGTTCACTATTGTTTGGAAGGAGAATCTCCTTCCATTAGGACTTTAGGTAGCAAGTCCTTATCTGGGGTTACTTCCCTTCTTCTTTTAATGCCACTGGGAACAACTTGAGAGTCACTGGACCCCTGTCGCACAAAATATCTGTCCAGAGAGGTCTTTTTCTGGTGTTTCTTTAAGATTTTCCTGAAGTGGGACACAACACTGTCATTGTACATGTTGCAGATATGGCTTGTTTCAGCTTGGTCAGGGTGATACTTTTCAACAAACTTTGCAACTCATTCCACTTGGCACAAATCTCCTTAATATTTGAAGAAGGCACCTCATCCACTCCCTCTTCCTCCTCCTCTGAAGCAAGTTCCTCGGCTGTGATCTGATGCTGTTCCAGTCGAAGCTCTTGCAGTTCGTCAGTGGTTAGCTCTTCCCTGTGGTCCTCCACCAACTCTTCCACATCCCCGTCACTCACTTCCAACCCCATGGACTTGCCCAATGCCACAACACCTTCCACAACAGGCAGAGGGTCGGCAGGGACAGGGTCTGCCTCAAACCCTTCAAAATCCCTCTGGATCATGTTCCTCACTTTATTTACCAAAGTTCTTACACTAGCTTTCCTTGGGTCCATGATGACTTATTTAGCAGTTGCAAGCACAAAAAACAATGGATTATTATGAAATGTATTGTATGAACCCGCGGGGTGATGGTCACGTGTTGGTAAACAATGGCACACTGAGCGTGAATGGCGTGGGAGACTGGCTTGGTGTGCGCGGTGACGGGCGGACGGGTACTGGATGGTCGCCGAAACACGAGTCTAATCACGAAACTCGAGGCCAAATTTTGCCAAAAAAAACTCGCCGAAGGTCGAATTTCATGAAAGTCGAGGCTGCTGAAACTCGAGGGTCCACTGCATATTGAAGTGTATTTTTCCTGCCTTTGAGAGCAAGAATTCCACCAGAACGGATTAATGGCTTTTCAATTAATTTAAATGAGGAAAATTGACTCAGCATACGAACAAATCAGGATACGAACAAGGTCATGGAACGGATTACGTTCATAAGCTGAGGCTACACTTTATAGGGTTTGCTACTATCCACAGCAGGTCCTTGGAACGTATCCCCCGAGGATTCAGGGGTCTAACTGTAAATTAATACTTTGTTTTTTGATCGATAGCTTCTAATATATGTAAATGTGTTCTTGATTAATATAAAGCACCATATTGTACTGAACACCTTTATAAAATTCACCTGTGAAATTCCAGTGGGATTAACAATTTCTTATGAACACAAGAGGAGTATAATAATAATAATAATTTAGATTTCAGTCACACAAACTATACATTTATTTATATTAGCAACTTCTTTTACATTATGCTGGGAGTCACATTTTGAGTCACTAACTCTCATTATGCCACATCTTCAGAAATCTGCAGACCTTTGACATTTCCTTCTCATTTCAATCACATCTTTAGCCCCCTTACCTGGCAGGTGCATTGAAATTAGTGGAGCAGAAGAGAACTTTGAACAGCTGGTGGAGGATCTACTGCAGAAAAAATCCACCGAACCCAGGATGTCTGGGTACCTCAAGCAACAGAGACAGACAATTGTTGCTCAGATACCTTCCACGTCAACCGCCATGGAGATCCCTGAGACTCTGCTGGATCCTGAGCAGGTCTGCCTAAGGCACACTAATGCAGTGCACATAATTAATTAAAACATGCTTAATATTTTTTCTGATTACAGTGGACCCTCAAGTTTAGAACTTGTTTTGTTCCAGATGGCTATTCAAGTGCTGTTACCGAACAAATTTCTTCTCATCGCGAATAATGTAAGTTAGATTAATCTGTTTCAGACCCACAACAAAACACTTACATAATTGGTCATGTTGGGAGCGGTTCTGAACTCGAGGGTCCACTGTATTTTGATTTTTATTCCATGAAATATGAATTGTACAGTACAGTTGTACCTCGGGGTACAAAGAGCTGAAAACTTGAACAGTTATGTAAGTGTATTTATGTAAGTGTATTTTTGGGGGTCTGAAATGGATTAATCTGATTTAAATTATTCCTTTTGGGAGCAAATTCGTTTGGTATTGGCACTCGAACAGTCTTCTGGAACAAATTAAGTTCGTATCCCAAGGTACCACTGTATTTTGATATTTTAGCAGTGCATATTACAGTAGAACATCCCCCCCATATCCACTGATTCAGTATCTGCCATTTCAGTGATACTTGATTTACTGTAGCCCAAAAATACCTCTTAATTTGCATAAAAATGGCCCCAAAGCACAAACATAGAGAAGCTGGCAGTTTTTCAAAACTAAGAGAAGCTGTGAAGTGCTTCCCATCAGTGAAAAGTGATAATTCTCCACTTCTTGTGCATAATTTATCAATTAAACTTTATAATAGGTATGTACAGGACTTATATATAGGGTTTGCTACTAGCCATGGTTTCAGTATCCGCAGCAGGTCCTTGGAATGTATCCCGTGCAGATACGGGGGCCCTACTGTATGTGCATTTATTTCAGTGCACTTGTTGCATTTATTTCATACTATTTTGAGTTCTGGAGGTGGTAAGTATGGTGATAGCAACATGAAGGATAAGTGGGAATATTGCAGTGTGGGAGGCCATTTAAATTGTGATGTCTGCAAACCTCTGGCAAGATGACTATTGAATGAGTGATAGTGAATGTATCTTCTTTTTTGGTTCACCTTATCTTAATGAGAAATGGCAGATGTGGTTAAAAAAAAATGCATTTTAACTATTCAGACACTGGGGTAGGCAAACACAGCCAGTGAAGTGTGGCAAATGTTAGCAACTGCATCGTGTGTACATCTCATTATAAATCTCTTGTGTTAAATGAGGGTTTAGTTCCTCCTAATTGAGCATTTATGATCAGACTGTACTATGAAAATTTGCTCTGTTTACTAAATGGTTTATGCACTGCAGGTATTAGCCACCTGTAGTTAAGAATTAAGCATGGAGGGCAGAGAGTGCACTGGGTCAAGCAGTGAGCGAGCAGAGTTAGTCAGAGACTATCTGTTAACTGCCTCCTAATGTTTGCAGTCCTCCCCAGGATGAAGTGCGGGCATAGGAGTGCTCCAAAGTTCTCCGTCTTAACAAGTCTACAAGCTACACAAAAATTTCACAATGGTATATTCTAAACCATAGAAAGTTAGACAAGCACTCATGACAGAAATGCAAGTTTTAAGAGAAATCTCACAAGCTAGCTGACGTGAAAGAACTCGAATAATCACAGTTACATGACTCAAAATTGAATATAAGAATGGTAAAGTCTCGTGCAAAAAACTAAAAGCCGGAATTTCGAGATAATGAAAATCGGGTCCAAGAGTCCAAACTTACAGGAGGGCTTGAAGCACTAGACAGCTGCCCATAGATAACAACTGGTATATTTCAGAACCAGGACATTAGCACAAAAGATTAAAATTATTCTTGATACTCGACAATATGACAGAGTATTGATAGATTTAATGACGGTTCAATCGGTTGTTGGTCCTGGATGGTTATTTGGGCAATCGCTCCATTACGGTTCTTGGACCAGGCCTCCTAATAGGTTTCGGAGCACCCACCATGTATAATGCAGGTGTTGCCATATGATGGTGCTACTAAATGTTCTACAGTAAAGAACAAGTCATGCCACATGGAACGAAACTGTGAAAGCTTACGATGATGAAAGAACCATGATGTATAATCACAAAGGAATGATCAATATACAGAAGGTCGAGGAAAAATAGTTAAAGTTCACATAAATGCTATACAGCAAATAGTAAAACAATATGAATCCTAAAAAGAAATTTAAAGGGTACTACCACTTTCATAAATTAAACATGAAAACTCTAGAAACTTCTCAGAGATGTGAATGTAAAAAAAATGTGTTTTCCTAGTATGATGAGCGATATTACGAGGAAGGCTGAAAGCATTGAATATGTCTTTGGCTGATAACATGGATAACAGAAGGCATGACAACCTAAAAAAAAATTAAAGAAAATTATTTCTTAATACTATACTGACAATATGTAGAACAGGAGTATTGAGATAGATTTTTTAATATGTACTGATAGTTTGTATTACCTGGACCTGGAGAGAGTTCCGGGGGTCAACGCCCCGCGGCCCGGTCTGTGACCAGGCCTCCTTAGATCAGTGTCCCAGGATGCGACCCACACCAGTCGACTAACACCCAGGTACCCATTTTACTGATGGGGAACATAGACAACAGGTGGAAAGAAACACGTCCAATGTTTCTACTCTGGCTGGGAATCGAAACCAGGCCCTCACCGTGTGAAGCGAGAGTGTTAACCACCAGGCAAGGATTTCTTAATATCTACAGATAGTTTGTATAACAAGAAGTGTTGAAAGTTTACTAAAAAGCTCTTTTCAAACTATAGTAAAGACAATGGAATCACTTACAAGAAAGATAATAAAGGCTACAACCACTGTTAATTATTAATTTTAAACAGTAAACTCTCTTATAAAACCCCTTGAATAGTGTGATTTCTTGAAAAAAAATTTTTTTTTATATTATCACACTGGCCGATTCCCACCAAGGCAGGGTGGCCCGAAAAAGAAAAACTTTCACCATCATTTACTCCATCACTGTCTTGCCAGAAGGGTGCTTTACACTACAGTTTTTAAACTGCAACATTAACACCCCTCCTTCAGAGTGCAGGCACTGTACTTCCCATCTCCAGGACTCAAGTCCGGCCTGCCGGTTTCCCTGAATCCCTTCATAAATGTTACTTTGCTCACACTCCAACAGCACGTCAAGTATTAAAAACCATTTGTCTCCATTCACTCCTATCAAACACGCTCACGCATGCCTGCTGGAAGTCCAAACCCCTCGCACACAAAACCTCCTTTACCCCCTCCCTCCAACCTTTCCTAGGCCGACCCCTACCCCGCCTTCCTTCCACTACAGACTGATACACTCTTGAAGTCATTCTGTTTCGCTCCATTCTCTCTACATGTCCGAACCACCTCAACAACCCTTCCTCAGCCCTCTGGACAACAGTTTTGGTAATCCCGCACCTCCTCCTAACTTCCAAACTACGAATTCTCTGCATTATATTCACACCACACATTGCCCTCAGACATGACATCTCCACTGCCTCCAGCCTTCTCCTCGCTGCAACATTCATCACCCACGCTTCACACCCATATAAGAGCATTGGTAAAACTATACTCTCATACATTCCCCTCTTTGCCTCCAAGGACAAAGTTCTTTGTCTCCACAGACTCCTAAGTGCACCACTCACTCTTTTTCCCTCATCAATTCTTGATTCACCTCATCTTTCATAGACCATCCGCTGACACGTCCACTCCCAAATATCTGAATACGTTCACCTCCTCCATACTCTCTCCCTCCAATCTGATATCCAATCTTTCATCACCTAATCTTTTTATCCTCATAACCTTACTCTTTCCTGTATTCACCTTTAATTTTCTTCTTTTGCACACCCTACCAAATTCATCCACCAATCTCTGCAACTTCTCTTCAGAATCTCCCAAGAGCACAGTGTCATCAGCAAAGAGCAGCTGTGACAACTCCCACTTTGTGTGTGATTCTTTATCTTTTAACTCCATGCCTCTTGCCAAGACCCTCGCATTTACTTCTCTTACAACCCCATCTATAAATATATTAAACAACCACGGTGACATCACACATCCTTGTCTAAGGCCTACTTTTACTGGGAAAAAATTTCCCTCTTTCCTACATACTCTAACTTGAGCCTCACTATCCTCGTAAAAACTCTTCACTGCTTTCAGTAACCTACCTCCCTACACCATACACTTGCAACATCTGCCACATTGCCCCCCTATCCACCCTGTCATATGCCTTTTCCAAATCCATAAATGCCACAAAGACCTCTTTAGCCTTATCTAAATACTTTTCACTTATATGTTTCACTGTAAACACCTGGTCCACACACCCCCTACCTTTCCTAAAGCCTCCTTGTTCATCTGCTATCCTATTCTCCGTCTTACTCTTAATTCTTTCAATTATAACTCTACCATACACTTTACCAGGTATACTCAACAGACTTATCCCCCTATAATTTTTGCACTCTCTTTTATCCCCTTTGCCTTTATACAAAGGAACTATGCATGCTCTCTGCCAATCCCTAGGTACCTTACCCTCTTCCATCATTTATTAAATAATTGCACCAACCACTCCAAAACTATATCCCCACCTGCTTTTAACATTTCTATCTTTATCCCATCAATCCGGGCTGCCTTACCCCCTTTCATTTTACCTACTGCCTCACGAACTTCCCCCACACTCACAACTGGCTCTTCCTCACTCCTACAAGATGTTATTCCTCCTTGCCCTATACACGAAATCACAGCTTCCCTATCTTCATCAACATTTAACAATTCCTCAAAATATTCCCTCCATCTTCCCAATACCTCTAACTCTCCATTTAATAACTCTCCTCTCCTATTTTTAACTGACAAATCCATTTGTTCTCTAGGCTTTCTTAACTTGTTAATCTCACTCCAAAATTTTTCTTATTTTCAACAAAATTTGTTGATAACATCTCACCCACTCTCTCATTTGCTCTCTTTTTACATTGCTTCACCACTCTCTTAACCTCTCTCTTTTTCTCCATATACTCTTCCCTCCTTGCATCACTTCTACTTTGTAAAAACTTCTCATATGCTAACTTTTTCTCCCTTACTACTCTCTTTACATCATCATTCCACCAATCGCTCCTCTTCCCTCCTGCACCCACTTTCCTGTAACCACAAACTTCTGCTGAACACTCTAACACTACATTTTTAAACCTACCCCATACCTCTTCGACCCCATTGCCTATGCTCTCATTACCCCATCTATCCTCCAATAGCTGTTTATATCTTACCTTAACTGCCTCCTCTTTTAGTTTATAAACCTTCACCTCTCTCTTCCCTGATGCTTCTATTCTCCTTGTATCCCATCTACCTTTTACTCTCAGTGTAGCTACAACTAGAAAGTGATCTGATATATCTGTGGCCCCTCTATAAACATGTACATCCTGAAGTCTACTCAACAGTCTTTTATCTACCAATACATAATCCAACAAACTACTGTCATTTCGCCCTACATCATACAGTTGAAAAATTGCCTCCAAATTTGAATAGCATATATATAACTTTGATGGGTTCTGAGCTTTTCTACTCCCAGAGCCCAGCTGTAGGCCAGGCTCGTCTGGTGCTTGCCAGATCAACCAGGCTGTTGCTGCTGATAATCTGCTGACCCACATATCCATCACAGCCTGGACAATGATATTCTTTTCATTCACTATTCTATTTTGGATGTACTTTTTCAGTAACATTTACAAAAACTGTATGAAGGAGCTTTATAAGATTGCTTACTGTAACTTAGGTAGCAAAGAAAGATGTGACATAATGAGCTGAGCTCTGCTCCTGTAACTACAGAAAGTATGGTACTGTATCCATAATTAAATTTTATACCATATCACAGCCATATTTTTTCACTTGGCATTGGATATAAAAAAACTAAAAATATGTTTACACTATCATTTATTAAGTGTTCAGTAACACTAAGCCTAAAAAATGATGCAAAAGTAAAAATAATATGTATATTAAAAAAAATTTAAAATTGCTAAAAACCATCTTAAGAGCAAGACAAGCACTGAAAATAATAAACATGAATATAATGAAAGATCATCATGTTAGCAAAGCACTAAATTTAGCAAACACTATATTAACAAGGTGTAATTGTATAGTACAAACTAATGTACAGGAGGGCCATGCTTATACAGCAGGTTAGATTCCAGGCTACTGTTGTAAATCAAAAGTCACTGTAAAGTGCAGATGTTTTTAACACGTTTGTAACTTGTGGACCTCCTGAGCAGTGTACCTCCTGGTTCTCCTCAGGATGCAGCAGCCAATGAACTCCATGAGTGCACTATATGTTATGAAGAATCGGTACTGGAGAAGAATATGGCTACCTGCAATGCTTATTACAACTTCCACAAGTTCTGCATTGACTGTATCAGGAAGTAAGGGCTTAGTTTTTTATTCAAATGCACCATTTAATTTTAGCTGGCAAGTGTTGAAAAGTAATACCTGGAGAGGGTTTCGGGGGTCAATGCCCCCATGGCCTGGTCTGAGACCAGGCCTCGTGTTGGATCAGGGTTTAATCAACCAGGCTGTTACTGTTGGCCGCATGTAAACTGACGTAAGAACCACATCCCGGCTGTGGTTCTTGCATTGGTATAAGTATAAGAGCGACCACAGCCCAGCTGTGGTCAGCTCTTATAAACATATTCTATGTAGTGATATGTTTTTTTGAAAATATGATTGAAAAAGTACTGTACTACTTCCCAAGTTTTATAGCGCATGGAACTATCTTCATAGTACAACATGCCATTCAATTTTTTATGAATTTCTGAAAAATTTTACTTTATAGAGGAGCTTTACAGTAGTGCTTACTGTATATAATGTACTGGGTAACTAGCTGAAGATGGATTACTATATATTTCAGGAGAAGCTCTAAACCTGTTTGGGTCATACAGTGCCCCCCAGGATTGGCATGTAATGAGGTTTTTAATCCAAGGAAGGGAATCAGGAGCCCTTCACCAGCACCAGGTTAACCCATTGAAGGGGGTCTATGGAGGAAGCACTGAAAACAAAACAAAAAAATAATAATAATATAATTTAAATACAGTTGTTTAGTGCTTATAATGCATGATGTTATAATGTGATTTTTTCTTAATATAGGCAGTAGGGGAAAAAGACTTAAACTGACCCACTTTGAAAATTATTAAAAGAATTCAGTCATGATTTTCGGAATATATTGTAAATAGCAATTACTGATTGAAATAGAGGTCACCCTGCCTTGGTGGGAGACTGCCGACGTGTTAAAAAAAAAAATCGATAGGTGTTGACCCCCAAAACCCTCTCCAGTTATACATTGTTATGAAAATCCTGTCTTTTAAGTTTACACTGTTTTACTTAGTCTTGTAACATTTTATGTAAATTTGAAAGATAGCTTTGTTGTGCACCCCATACCCATCCTGTGGGCAGTCAAAAGATTTACAGACTCACAAAATGGGTCCAGGAACTGGACCTTGACATTAGTTTGCTAAGTAAATTACAGAAGTCATTTATTACTTATGTAGTTTGCTTAGCAGACTAATTTATTTGGTAATAATAATAATAATATTGCTTATATATTTAATGAATTTAGCCACATGAACCATACTGGTCCTCGGGATTTTCATCTGACATGTCATCCATCGGCAGGCATGTAGCAGCACAGATAGGCCAAGGAAATACCAGATTTAAATGCATGAATGGATACTGTGAGTCAGAGTTCTCATGGAGGACACTCAAGAGAGTGATGGAACCTGTGGTGTTTGAAAAACTTCAAGAAAGAAAGCAGCAAGATGAAATACGAGCTGCTGGCATCGAAAACCTAGAGTCCTGCCCATTCTGTAATTTCATGATCATCATGCCCGACCAGGAGAACAAAGTACTTGAGTGTCTCAATCCTGAGTGCCTGAAGGAGTCCTGCAGGTAGGATGATGTCTTCAGTGAGTGGAGGAAGAATCCTATAGTTAAGATACTTTTAAGTAGATATATGGTTCAGAGAACCGACAAGATGATGAATTTGACACTTGTGCAACACTTGGGTATCTTTATTGTGAAAACTTTTTGTCAACCAGTGGCTTCCTCAGTCCGATGCAGAAAAGAATGGTTGAAGATCAGGAGTTTGAGGTATTCAGTCCCTCAACCTGGTGTCGATGTAATCAGTCCTTCAAGATTGATGGACTGAAGTCATTGGCTTCAGGCTGAGGGAATGATTACCTCAAACCCCTTCTGATCTTCAACCTTTCTTCTCTGTACCTGACTAAGGAAGCCACTGGTTGGCAAAATGTTTCCACAATAAAGTTACCAAAGTGTTGCACAAGAAGTATATATTTAGTGCCAAATATCTGAAGGAATTTTGCTAGTAGGGTCTACTACTAAAGGTGTAATTAAGTACAGAAATTAATTCTACAGTAGTTTTTGGCATTATTAAGCCCAAATAAAGGTACTTCTACCAGAATAACAGAAATCAAGTTTTTAGGAAAATCAGTGTGACCTCCCAGTTAATTTCAGCTTCATTCTTGTGTACACATCTTCAGCTTTTCTAAATTTTCGGAGAACACTGGAAAGAGTTAGGCATTGAAGATTTGGTAGGTGTTGGAGGGAGGAGGGTAGGTGAGTGAGTGTTGGAGAGGAGGAAGAGAAGGGTGAGTGTTGGAGAGAAGGGAGAGAGAGGTAAGTGTTGGAAAAAAGAGAGAGGGGAGTGTTGGAAAGAAGGAAGAGAGGTGAGTGTTGAAGAGAAGGGAGAGAGAGTTGAGTGTGGGAGAGAAGAGAGAGAGTTGAATGTTGGAGAGAAGAGAGAGAGGTGAGTGTTGGAGAGAGAGAGAGAGGTGCATATTGGAGAGAAGGGAGAGATGTGAGTGTTGGAGAGAAGGTAGAGGGGTGAATGTTGAAGAGAAGACAGAAAGAGGTAGGAGAGAAGGTAGAAAAAGGGATGAGTGTTGGAGAAGGTAGAGAGGCAAGTGTTGGAGAAGGTAGAGAGGTGAGTGTTGGAGAAGGTAGAGAGATGAGTGCTGGAGAAGGTAGTCACAACTGGTTAATGGTCCAAGTATAAGTTTCTCCTATACGCAGGTTATTTGTGTACAGTATTAAAGAATCGAGTTTGAGTTTGCTTGGGTCAACTGTTAAAGGCACCCCTTAAAATTTTCCTTATGAATATAACTTGCTATATTAATTTGAAAAACAGTGTCAAAACTATCTTTTCAGGTTATGCAAAGAGGCATCGCACATCCCATACCGGTGTAATGAAATAGAAAAAACAGATCAGAAAGATGCGCGGACTGAAATAGAGAATCGCATGGCAGAAGCAATGATCAGGTAGGGGGTGATTTGATCCTCAATATAAACTTACAGGTCAGGTATATTTTTTTTTTAGGTATAGTATCATAATTGATATTAACTCTTAAGCTGTATAGAAAATACATTTAATCTATTACAGCATTGTTATTTATAGTTAGTTTTCAAATTAATCTTGTCATATAGCATATCCAGTATGTATCCCTGAGCATATATATGGTATACTATTATGTTATTAACAAGGAAATGATTGATCTTTTTTGTATTTCACTGAATCAAATTGAAAAAAAGAAAAATTTGTATATTGCAGGGAATGTCCAAATTGCAAAAAGCGATTTATCATAGAAGCTGGATGTAACAGGATGACGTGTCCGTGCGGGGCCGTCATGTGTTACCTGTGTAAGTCACTCATCAGTAACGACTACAACCACTTTGAACGAGAGCAAGTGGCTTCAAACAAGTAAGGCACTTCTTTTATTATTTGTTCCTCAGTGTCTACACCACAGTAACAGGTAACTCCAACAGTAATATTGTTTCTCAGTGTCATCAACAAAGAAACAGGTAACTCCAACAGTAACATTGTCCCTCAGTGTCTTCAACACAGTAACATTGCCAGGTTCAAACATCAGGTGGTTCAAACCCTTGGAAAAAAAAAGTACTGCCCCCACATACTTAACAACAAATAATTAGACTATTTTTTTAAGGTTGACTTTATAAGTTTTTTTTTTTAAATCAAGACACAATAAAAATTCAATGTTACAATTATTACATCTGGAAGAAAAAAGGGCAGTTTGTACACCCGTCTCAGAGATGTCTCATGATGCCAACAATAGCACTGTGTGTGTCTCCGTCAGAACCATCAGTGTTGGATCACTTTATCAACAACACTAATTCATTGCAAAAAAATGGTGTTTTAAAACTTATTACATGTATTATTATTATTATCATCACTTTTTTTTCAACAAACCAAGGTATTATTATTATTATTATATTATTATTATTATTATTATTATTATTATGTTATTTTTTAATACATTGGCCATTTCCCACTGAGGCAGAGTCACCCAAAAAAGAAGAAACACTTTGATCAGCACTAACTCCATTTTTATTATTATTATTATTATTATTATTATTATTATTATTATTATTATTATTATTAATCACTGTAAAAGCCTGCAACAAAATGTAATGCATGCAGCACCATGTACTTATGTCTGGAATTAAATTTTTGACATTGAAAGAAATTATATTTATTAATTTTAAAAAAATTTCTTTTGAGTGTTCTTGCATCTTAGAAAGAAAAATATCTTGATGCATTACTTAATTTGCTCTATATCTTGGAGTATTAATGTTATGCGGTGACAAAAATATGGATCATCAATTATCCAGCTATTTTGGGAGGAGGGAGAGAGGCTGGATTATTTGAAAATCAATTTATCTCCCCCCCCCTTTTTTTCACATTAATTTCTAGTATTATGTTTTTAGTTATTAGATTGAACCAGACTGCTAAATAATGTTGGATGTCATATATCCAGTCACCAGATTGATGATCTGCTGTACTATATAACCTCTTAATTCACAGGTTAGGTTCCTGTGCTGAATGTGAATCTTGAAAGTATAGATAAATAGAAAATTCACTTGTCTGAATAATTAAAGTTTTGCCATATATATCCTTAAATATTGCTCTAAACTGGTTAAAGAGTCTATTTTGAATGAAATCCAAGAAAACTGTGAGTACTCAAAGCTGTCTTTGAACTGATTTTCAGTAAAAATGTAACTAATTTACAGATATTATACATCACTCAAATTTTGGGGTGTCTGTGGTTTAAGACATGCAAAGCTTTGTTATTAGGTGGAAATATGTAAAATAGGGGCCTAGAAATTCTTTATTATTAAGTGGAAATTTGGCAACAAGGGGGGACAGAAATTCTTTGTTATTTGATGGAAATTTTTAAAGAAAAAAATAATGTCACGGGGCACAGAAATCCATTAGGAAGAATTTCTTTAATTATTAATTTTTCTCAAAGGTGCCCTCTCTGGAGCAATGCCACAGACCTTCATACTTCTGAGGTTCGTGAGGCTGCGGTCAGAGCCAAGCAGGAAATGGACCCAAATATCTCGCTTCTTCATGACCCAACGTCTGACATTATGTAACACCTCGGTGGTGATTATGCTGTGCTTATCATGTTGGAAGTTCAGTGTAACTCAAGTACATTAATTTTGTATTCAACCCAGTATGAATGACACTTGTTTCTTACCTGGAGTATACCTAGTAAGGGTATACTTTGGTTACAGTCTGTAAATAACTTCACTATAAGCTGGAATACAAAGCCTGTCAGTATACAAAAATATTTATACTTTTTCTAGCATTCAATTTAAGCAGTCAAATCAGTTCAAAATCACATCAATCAAGAGCAGTTAAGTTTCTCTTTTCCTAACTAAAAATGTACAGAAAAAAAGATTCAGAGGTTACCATCATTCAGTACATTGCAATTTAGATGGTGCAGTGGGGTTGTAGCAATGCCTAGTGATAGTAGTCAGTGTTGAAGGTTGTGTTGAGTGAGAAGCTTCGATTTCAGCGTGTTTTGTATCCTTAACAATTTTTATTATTTTTTTTTTATTCTATTGCTGAGCACCGAAGGTTCAGAATTCAATGCTTGAGAAAATTATAAAGTTTGTTTTGGTACTCGAACACTCACATGGTCTGTTTTCATTTCTGATGTTTTGCACTGGTAATTGCTCCTTATTTTTCCCTCTGATTTTTTGCTACTAGCCATGATACGGTGAATGAATCATGAGTTGACGATACCTCAGTTATTATTATGATAATCATAACCAAGCGCTAAACCCATAATGGTCATACAGCAACAGTGCCTCAAGTTCCACTCACTATGGTCACTCTGATCTCAACTTAATTACTCCTCTATCTTCACCATGCATGTGGCTCCCAACCCCATTCTAGTGAAAAATGGGATAATGATATTATTTTTATTATCAAGAGGCTTATCCATTTAGTATCCTGTGACATTTGCTTTATACTTCATTACCATTACAACAGTAAGAGGTGAGATGTCAGAGACTTATAAAAAGTACAAGACTGCTAACAGCAGTGTATTAAACTTTTTTTTTTTTTTTATAGGAGTCAGCTCTCATATAAAGCTCCTCTATATAGTGCAAAGTTTTCCATGAATGTAATTGAAAAAGGTATGAAAATTGAATACTGTGCACTATGTACCACTACCATTGTACCACTACCAGTGTACCACTACCAGTGTACCACTACCAGTGTACCACTGCCTTGGGCTAATCAGCTTTGGGTGCACTTGTTCAGTCGCAGTTATGAAAATGCGCGCTGTACAGGAGTACCTCGCTTTAAGGTGCTTAACTAATACAGCACTTTGCTTTTCAAGTACAGTGGACCCCCGCATAACGATTACCTCCGAATGCGACCAATTATGTAAGTGCGTTTGTACGTGTATGTTTGGGGGTCTGAAATGGACTAATCTACTTCACAATATTCCTTATGGGAAAAAATTCGGTCAGTACTGGCACCTGAACATACTACTGGAATGAAAAAAGTTCGTTAACCGGGGGTCCACTGTATACATATTCATGTTTATTATTTTTTGTGCCTGCCTTGCTCTTAAGGTTTGCAGTGGTGATGTACACATCAGCTGAAACCTTCAGTAGCGAGTAGGCCTACCATTCAACAGCAAGTAGGCCTACCATTCAGCAATGAGTAGGCCTACCACTCAACAGCAAGTAGATCTACCATTCAACAGCAGGTAGGTCTACTGTTCAACAGCAAGTAGGCCTACTATTCAACAGCAAGTAGGCCTACCATATAACAGCAAGTAGGCCTACTATTCAACAGCCTTCACCATAAGCAAAAGACAAAAATATTTTAAAGTTACCAATACTGTACAGTATTATAGCATTTTTTTATTATTTTTACTTTTCCACAATTTTTTTTAAGCCTATTGCTATTGCACTCTTAATAAATGATAGTGTAAACATGTTTTTAGGCTTTTATATGCACGGGCAAGTGAAAAAAAGGCTGTGATTCACTCTAAGGATCCTAGCCTGCTGTATTTGTGAGGTATGCCTGTGAAGGTGGGCCCCACTTATACAGCAGATTAGGTTGCCATGTCCTGCTTATACAGCAAATTAGGCTCCTGGGCTCCACTTATATAGCAGGTTAGGTTCCTGGGGCCCCACTTATACAGCAGGTTAGGTTCCCAGGCCCCACTTATACAGCAGGTTAGATTCGTGGCTACTGCTGTAAAGTGAAACATAGCTGCGGACGGGTGCGGCCCCCCCCCTTCCCTTTTTTTTTCACTTTCAAATGCATATAAGAGCCTGATAACATGTTTACACTATCATATATTAAGTGAACAATAGAGCTAGGCCTAAAAAATGCATATACGGTACATACATTACTTACCTTAAAATATTTTTCTCCTTAGCTTATAGTGAGTGGTGAATATATTTATTGTAGGAAGTCTAAATAAATGAATGGGCAGGGCCGGCCTTAAGCTGATTGGACCGACTGCTCCCAATTGGCCCCCATGCTAGAGTGTAGCAGGAGTATAAACTTCGACAAAATTCTAAAAGACTGCAGAGAAAAAAGCAAGAAAAAATAACTTTCTCCTAATAAAAGGAATAATATAACACATTTATAGTTTATAAATGTTAAGTGATTTTTAGAAGTCTGAAAAAGATAATTTGTTTCCAACAGTGCACTTAAATTCTGAACAAAAATAAATTAATATTTTTAATAAATGATTTCACAGTCACTAGAGCAAGTGGTATTGTGACTATGTACTTTTCAGAGGTGATATACAAATTTTGTTTCTTGTAGGCTTACAATTATGCAATTTTATATTAAAATATAGCTTACATCTGTTTGGTCTATTAACTCACATGCATTTTTTAAGCGCACAGTTTGATTGCTTTCCATACTTGGGGCCCACCAAAATTGTTCCCAATTGGGCCTTGCACCTCCTAAGGCCAGCTCTGAGAATGGGTATAACTGAAAACTGCTGCATTAGTGAAATTCTGTAAAGTGAAGCACTGTAAAGTGGGGCCTCCTGCACTGAGGAGTATTATAAGAGAGGTGACCACAATACTCAGTTGTTTCTCTCTAATATGTATATTACCTTTGTGTAAATGAATGTCATCATCCTAGAAAGCTGACAATCCAATATTAATTTTAAATATTGTATTACAGAGACAAAACTGAAATCAACAATACTGGTTATAGATGAGTTATATCTAATCTTTATCCAAAAAAACATGTTTCATGTGATAAAATTAGTTAATGTTCTTGTTTATGTTTAGAAATTCTGAACAAAGTACACTGCTTTACTGAGATGGATGGACCTTAAAGCCTACACAGTGCAGGTGAACATTCCATGCATTTTATTTAGTACAAGTTACCTACAGTATTTCTTCATTTTTTAAGTTATCATTATGCTACATGTTAATTAGCTTATCATTTCACAATCTCATAAACATCTTCAGAGTTTTAGAACGTATCATAGCTAGTGATGGTACTATACCTTTGATATCTTTGATATATCTCTGACAGGTTTCGAGAGCTGTTCTCTTGCAGCCCAGCCCTGGTATACTGTGATTTGTTCTGTGTTATGTTGGTCATCAGTGTGGGGTATATACATAGCTAGTATACATGACAAGTATATGTACTACTGACATACACCTGTAACCAGTTTCGAGGGTTCGTTGATGGTCTCCTTTCTTTCTTGCTGCCCTGGATTTCCTGGATGGCCACCACTCAGAAACTTTTTTTTTTTTTTTTGGTATGACGTTTTCTGTGTGGGGGGGTGAGGGGGTGAAGAGTGGTGGGGGATTGGGGGTTATGGACAGGTCATGTGGAGGGGGTCTTTTTTTTGGGAGAAAAAATAGGTCACAACTTCATTGTGGACTGCTTGGTCAACCAGGCTGTTGGTGGCCTGCAGGCCTATATAGCCATCCTAGAGTCATCATTCTTACTATTTTTAGTCAGTGTTCCACATTCATTATTACTGTACCTTGTCCATTAATTTCAACATTAAGTAGAGTATCTATAGAACATGTTTGTTCATTTCTTTCTTTGCTTATTCATTTGATTATCATCACTAGTTTGTTAATGTTCTCTTCGCTATCATGTTCGTGTGTTCATTATAACCTTATGGTTGTTAACTGTTGTAAAACACTGATTAATATCACCTTTCACTTATTCAGTATAACTGTGTACAGTTGTTCCACATTATAACAATACTCGTATCTCTAGCTGCATTTCTTACTTGACTCTTCAACTTGTCCTTTGTAGTAAATTTCACCTTGATTCAGTTGATCATTTTATTAATGTTGTACAATACCAACAGGTAGATGAGTGAGACACGTGTAGTACTTGGGTACTTTTATTGGCATGTGTTGCACACGTCTCACTCATCCGGTTGACCCTCAGAGATAAGGTCATCGGAATCAGTTGTCCTTCCGATTTCCTCCTGTAAATCGTAACGTTCAGGTATCAGCTAGTTTTTGTCATTAGCCCTAGAGAGGTATACTAGAACTAGTGATCGTCTCGTATAACCGGGTATACTGTACCCGGCAATGACAAGCATATATATCATTTTTCTAATCAGGATGTATTGTTGATAATTGAGGCACATTTAAATTAGTTTACTGAAGTGAATACAAGGCCTGTCACAATTCTATTTCACTGTCCACACATGCAAATACCTCACTAGGGCAAATCATGTACCATGTCTACGATTTTGTCAAAAATCTATTTTTCCACGATGTGTGTTCCACAGAGAAGGTGAAACCTAACCAAGAACCACCATACCATTCTGTGCCTTAACAGCTATAGCAAATAAAGTATATTATCCTATCTTGTTTTCTTACCTCAGATTATGCTTAGGGGAATGACAACTCGTAAATCTTATATTTTTACGAAGGGTTACCCTTGATGCTGGTGGTGGGGCTCTTGATACCAGGAATTCGGAGTTGCACTCCTCACGTTGGATCAAAGTGGGTTACCTCCCATTTTTCTCCCCCTTTCCCCTGTGAACCGTATGCCCCGTACGGGTTCAGCGTTCCCTCCTCATTCAGCGTTCCCTCCTGATTTCTTCCTGTCCTTGGAAACCCTTGGGGTTCCCCTCTGGAAACCCTTGGGTCCCCTCTGGAAACCCTTGGGTCCCCATGGAAACCCTTGAGTTCCCATGGAAACCGCTGGGGCTCATTTGGAAACATTTCAGCAAATGTTGGTACAAGTACTCTACACTGATGCACTCGTGGATGCACAATGTTTGGGAAGGTATACAAAAACGGCGTCACCTAATTGTCCATGAGAATAATAAAGTATAATTTATTTCACAAGGTTCACCAAATGGAAGGTCAATAGTAAACACAGCATTTCAGAATAGCCCAGGAGCTGAAGCTCACCCTCTGGGTTTAGTGTTTTTTCGCGGCTAGCGCTAGTAAGTGGTGCCTGACCGTTAACCAACGGGACTTGCACCAGCAATGGTTAACGGTGCGGGGGGGGGGGAGGTTGTAAACAGTATTAGATGATTTAGCAAGATTATTAGGCAGGCTTATTATTATTATATAGCAGCGCTGTATAGCCCTTGTGGCTTAGCGCTTCTTTTTGATTATAATAATAATAATTATTATTATAATAAAAAATAAGCGCTAAGCCACAAGGGCTATACAGCTAGGCAGGCTTAGGAACTATAATGTATGTGTACTCAGCTATATGTGGTTGCAGGGATCGAGTCACAGCTCCTGTGTGTGTGGTGTGTACTCACCTTTATGTGGTTGCAGGGATCGAGTCACAGCTCCTGTGTGTGTGGTGTGTACTCACCTTTATGTGGTTGCAGGGATCGAGTCACAGCTCCTGTGTGTGTGGTGTGTACTCACCTTTATGTGGTTGCAGGGATCGAGTCACAGCTGTGTGTGTGTGTGGTGTGTACTCACCTTCATGTGGTTGCAGGGGTCGATTAGCAACTCCTATGTGCGCGTTTATTCACCTGTGTATTTCCTAAATTTGGTTGCAGGGGTCGAGTCTCAGCTCTTAGCCGTGTGTGTGTACTCACCTAGTGTGTGTGTGTGTGTGTGCGTGTGCGTGCGTGCGTGCGGTAAATCACGTTATAGTGCTGTGGTAGAAGCACTAATGAAAGTACCCGGGGTCGAACCCTGGATGAGGTGGATGGTATGGCTGTCTCTCAGGCCGTCCTCTTAATACATTATGTCTGCTTTTGTAAGGTGACGTCTAGGATCTTTCCTTAATTCATGATATAACTTAACAAATATACGTTGCAAAGGTCTGAGCTTTGCTCATTACAACACAATTGTCCTCAAAGATTTGTTAGATTATACCATGAATTAAGGAATGATCCTGGACTTCACTTTACGAAAGCAGACAAAGCAAATGCAATAGTAATTATGGACAAGGCAGATTATAGGGGGGAAATAAACATGATATTAGTTGACAAGGAAACTCATGCGCTTCTTAACCACACATTATGGTAGTGCTGTAAAAAGTCAAACGGGTGTGCTAAAGAAACCTTGAACAGTTGAATTATGGCATATTAGTGGGGAACAGTGGCTACGTTTTCTGTTCGACCGCTGAATTTTATCGCCTTTTTATCTTAAGTTTTTCCACTGTAACCTAATTTTTAACACCTGTTGGTTCTCACCAGTAAATAGGTCCAGTGGATAATTTTTTTTTATAATTTTGATGTAATTAGTGTAATAATTGAAGGATATAGTGTAGATAACGTTGTTTAAGTGTAGTGTTGCTGTAACTTTTAAAAGATGTTAAGCCACAGAGGAACCAACATCCCTTATTAATTTTCTCTTTTATGATAATTGAGTAAAACGTACTTCTTATAATGCTGAAAATAAATTAATATTCCAATAAAGAAAATGTAGTACACACCTGGAAGTGTTATTAAATTAAGTGAAAAGATGTATTGTGTACGAAAAATGTAGAGCAACGAAAATGGCGGAGTAATACGGAACGGAAATGGGATTTGTGGATAATTAATCTCATTTAATCCAAGCCGATAGAAATAATATTGACAAATATAGTGTCCTATATATAAGTGAATTTAACGTATATCTAGAAAGGTTCATATACAAAGCGAAACTATCAAAATAAGGATAATACGGATGAAACATGAGCTGTTGGTGAGTACCTACATTATCCGTCACATGTATCATCAACTATGTAATATGCGCCTCCAAGTGTGAATTAATTCTTACTACAGGTAATGTAACTATTTATTACTCAATATTAGTTGCCTACGGAAAGGAAGGTGTTAGGATATATCACCAGGACCATAATTTGGTGAGTAAGATTTATATGTCCATTATATTTTTCTATTATGTAATTATATATATTATATATATATATATATATATATATATATATATATATATATATATATATATATATATATATATATATATATATATATATATATATATATATATATATATATATATATGTCGTGCCGAATAGGCAGAACTTGCGATCTTGGCTTAAATAGCAACGCTCATCTTTAAATAACAAAAAGGCACAATACCGTGACTGGAACGATACACAAATAACCCGCACATAAAAGACAGAAGCTTACGACGACGTTTCGGTCCGACTTGGTCCGAACTTTGTCAATGGTCCAAGTCGGACCGAAACGTCGCCGTAAGCTTCTGTCTTTTATGTGCGGGTTATTTGTGTATCGTTCATCTTGCCATATAGGACAAGCGAAAATTTGTGTATGCAATAATTTCGCCAAAATCATTCTGAACCTAACGAAAAAAATATATTTCATTGTGTTTGTTTAGTATTAAATTATAGTAAAGAAATCTAAAATATATTTAGTTGGGTTAGGCTAAAATAAATTGTTCTTGTTATAAGGTTAGGTAAGTTTTCTAAGATTCTTTTGTTGCAAAATTAAAATTTTTTACATTAACATTAATGAAAAATATATATCTTTAAACGTATAAGATAAAATTTTAGAAAGAATTTAATTTTAAATGAGCTCTTGCTAATTGACCAGTTTTAACATATTGGGCACGACATATATATATATATATATATATATATATATATATATATATATTTATAATATATATAAAATATATATATAAATATATATATATTATATAAAATAAAATATATTATATATTTTTATATATACATATAATATATATATGTGCCGATATTAAAACTGCTATTTTGGTTTAAATAGCAACGCTCTTCTTGCCGAATAAGGCAAGCGAAAATTTGTGTATGCAACACTTTCGCAAAAATCATTCTGAATGTAACGAAAAAAATATTTCATTGTGCTTATTTATTATTAAATTATTGTAAACTTGTATAAAATATATTTATTTGATGGGCGAAATACCCTCCAGGTAGGTAGGTATCGGAGGGACAGTGTTGTGACCCACTGATGCTTAAGTTACACTTGTCTCCGAGGTACAACTAATATCAGTAAGTGTAATATCCGTTTTAGATGTACCAGAGTTCTCAGTTTCTATTTTTTTTCAACACCTCGACCATTTCCCACCGAGGCAGGGTGACCCAAAAAGAAAGAAAAACCCAAAACGAAGGGAAAAACTTTCACCATCACTCAACACTCACCATCACTCAACACTTTCACCATCACTCATACATAATCACTCATCGCAGAGGAGCCCAGATACGATAGTTTAGATACCCCTCCAAACATCCAATATCCCAACCCCCTCTTTTAAAGTGCAGGCATTGTACTTCCCACCTCCAGGACTCGAGTCCGGCTAACCGGTTTCCCTGAATCCCTTCACAAAATATTACCCTGCTCACACTCCAACAGCTCGTTATTTTTTTTTTTTTTTTTATTATTATCACACCGGCCGATTCCCACCAAGGCAGGGTGGCCCGAAAAAGAAAAACTTTCACCATCATTCACTCCATCACTGTCTTGCCAGAAGGGTGCTTTACACTACAGTTTTTAAACTGCAACATTAACACCCCTCCTTCAGAGTGCAGGCACTGTACTTCCCATCTCCAGGACTCAAGTCCGGCCTGCCGGTTTCCCTGAATCCCTTCATAAATGTTACTTTGCTCACACTCCAACAGCACGTCAAGTATTAAAAAACATTTGTCTCCATTTACTCCTATCAAAAACGCTCACGCATGCCTGCTGGAAGTCCAAGCCCCTCGCACACAAAACCTCCTTTACCCCCTCCTCCAACCCTTCCTAGGCCGACCCCTACCCCCCCTTCCCTTTCCCACTACGCCCTGATCCTCTTGAAGTCATTTGTTTCGCCCCTTTCTCTCTACAGTCCGAACCACCTCAACAACCCTTCCCTCACCCTTGGACAACAGTTTTGGTAATCCCGCACCTCCCCTAAATTTCCAAACTACAATTCTCTGCATTATTTTCACACCACACATTGCCCTCAACATGACATCCCCACCCCTCCACCCTTTTCCCCGCTGCAACTTTTCATCACCCAGCTTCACCCCCATAAAGGGCTTTGGGTTAAACTTACCTCATACTTCCCCTTTTGCCCCCAAAGGGACAAATTTTTTGTCCCCACGTCCAAAGTGCACCACTCACTTTTTCCCCTCATCAATTCTAGTTTACCTCACTTTATAACCCATCCCTGACACCCCACCCCAAAAATATCTGAATCTACCTCCTCCAACTCTCTCCCCCCCAAATTGATATTCAATCTTCATCACTAATTTTTTTTGTTATCCTCATAACCTTACTTTTTCCCTGTATTCACCTTTAATTTTCTTCTTTTGCACCCCCTCCCAAAATTCATCCACCAATCTCTGCAACTTCTCTTCAAATCCCCCAAGACACGTGTCATCAGCAAAGGCAGCTTGACA